GAGAGAGAGAGAGAGAGAGAGAGAGAGAGAGAGAGAGAGAGAGAGAGAGAGAGAGAAAGAAAGAAAGAAAGAAAGAAAGAAAGAAAGAAAGAAAGAAAGAAAGAAACCCCGCCGTTCAGCCTTCGCTCACCATCGTGGGACTGGCTGCCCCCACATAAAATGTCCATTCATAACCAATTCCATCTGATTGGTGTATCAACTGTGTGTGCTCACACTGGAACTTTTTCCCACCCTGCACCGCGGGCATCTTCTTCGCCGCAGGTTCGCTGTGGCGGGTCCGATTTGTTTGCCTAATTTTAAAGCTGTAATGTAGTATCCAGACCTAAGCCCCTCGCTGTGTTGGTGAGCACTCACCAACCATTATAAAGTTTGGTGACTTGTGTGGCGAGGCCCAAGGACCATGGCCAGCCTTCTCCATTTTACTCATCTGTTGAGCAGTGGGCGAGGCCAATTCACCCCATTTCCCTGGCTATTTCTATGGGTGGACATTCCCTGAGAGGGCCAAGGTGCACCACTGGCCATCCACCAACATTTTAATGCACAAGGGTAGATTCTTTCTTTAAAAGGGTTGTGGAGGTGTTGGGGATTCAACTCTAAGGGGGAAGCCGGCGGGAGGCTGCACGCACCATGTTCAGCCAACCTGTCGGCGTTGTGTTCAGACTGTTCAAAGTGTTGGCGGATGGCGAGCGGTGCAACTACCGGTGGTTTGGAAATACAGGGCCTGGTTGCACTACTCTCCACACGCCAAGTTTGGCGAGTAGGCGCCTGGTTGCACTTATTTGCCAGACTTGGCCGATGAAAAATATGTCAGACTGCTCGCCACACCGTCGACACAAGTTGTGGCGAGTGTTTTCGGTTTCCCCGCCTGTGCCCGGCGGTTTATGGAGGGTGGTGGTCCTCGGCGGTTTGTGGAGGGTGGTGGTCCTCGGCGGTTTGTGGAGGGTGGTGGTCCTCGGACCTCTCCACAAAACAACTTTCTGGAGAGTGCATGGCTTCACGAGTGGAGATCAGGTAGACATAATTTTTTAACTTTTCTGTAGAAGAAATATAGTGGCGAGTAAGTGCAACCAGGCCTCCAGTTCGACACGATTCTCATTTTTTTCCCTCTCCACCCATTCGCCACGAATTGTGGCGGATGGCGAGTAGTGCAACTATGGTAGGCCCACAGAATGGTGACGGATGGCGAGTAGTGCAACTAGGCCCACAGTGAACAAGTAGTGTTTTGCAGGCTCCCATTTCGAAGCCTGACCTGCCTCCTGTTTTCTTTTTTCTTCTTTGACGCCCAACCAATTCATCCTGTCTGTATTCTACAGGTACGTGGGACCGAATTCAAAAACCCAAAAAAACAAAAAAACAAAAAAAAACAGTGAACAGTTCCTGTAACAGGAAAAAGAAAAAAAAAAGAAGAAAAAAACACAACTACCCGTGGCCCAGACACTCCCACGTCTATCCAGCTAGCTCAGTTGGTAAGGCACGCAAGTGGCATCCGGGAGGCCTTGGGCTCAATCCCCATTGGCCTCATGTACCGTCCTAGGCATGCTTGGCGCCCGCCACATGGAGATCCCCCGTTGGTCCCCCGTATTGGCACTAAAAAGAAGTGTCTGCTGATGTTCATAGGTGGGAAGGGTAATCCGGAAGGTACCGGTGTACCCCACTGGGGGTTTCCCTGAAGGCAACAAGGCCACCCTGGGCTGAAAAGGCCAGATTAGACACAAGATTGAATTTACCTGGGGCCAAGTCCCAGTAGCAGCGTTGAGCTACCTCAACGCCTGAATCTGGACGCTTTTGCAGAGATGTGCAGAGATGGTGTTGAGTTCCTGAACTGCACGTCTCCACAAACACGTCCAGATTCGGGCCTTGAGGTAGCTCAACGTTGCTACATAGTGGGACTTGGCCCGCGGGGGGTTCGTCCGATGATAATGGGCCTCGCTGCACTACTCTCGACATGCACAAAAGACAAACATCATGGCCGTGTATCTTTGCATATTCTAGCGGAAGATTCGCGCTCGTTTTGCACATTTCGAGAGTAGTGCAGCGAGGCCCAATACCTCAAGGCCATCGCCCTTCACAAAAAAAAACGAAAACAAAAGCAAAGGACACTCTTCAAGCCCTAAGGGCTGTACGCTGTGGACGTGTACGTACGGTGGCAGTCTGACTGTCGCGGCTTGTTTTTTTTTGTTTTTTGTTTTTTGTTTTTGTCGCGATGTTCGTACGGTGGCAGTCCGCCTATAAACTTGCCTCAGCTGTAAATACAGCGTGGTGATGGGGCTGCAGTGGGGCGATCGCCGCCGCTCGGTGTTACCGGATCGCCATCTCTGGAGAAGTGGAGCAGAGGGCATTGTATGTTCTGGTGTATCGCCGGTCCGGGAGGCGGATGTTTGATTCTCTTCTCTCGAGAAGAGAAGCGCAGAGCCGCATTGTCTCCCTCCGCTGACGGCGCTTGGGCCGGATCTTAAGGTGTTGGCAGCCATAGCTACTAGCTAGTGGGTGAAGAAAGATAAGAAGAAGAAGGAGAAGCCATAGCCAGCCGGCGAAGAAAAAGAAGAGCATGCCTAGTGGCAGCGGTGGCCGGAGTTGGAAGTGGACCGACGTCAACACGTCATCCTCATTGCTTGCAGCGTGACTTTTGAAATCTAAGTAAGAGAGAGAGAGAGAGAGAGAGAGAGAGAGAGAGAGAGAGAGAGAGAGAGAGAGAGAGAGAGAGAGACAGACGGGGAGAGAGAGAGAGA